AATTTGGTGGGGGTCTCGAAGGGGATGGGGATGGGGATGGTGATTGGTTAACAAGCGATACCGAGCCATCCAACCCCCCCCCAGTTGAGGACTGGCCTCCCGCGAAGCCCGGAGGGACCAGCCTGCTGCCTACATCCCAGCCTGCCAAGGCTACGTCTCTAGGCTCAAGTCGGGCGTGTCCCTCTACAGGAGGAGTGCTCAAAAATAGTCAAGACAAATCAGGGGACGATTGTTCGATTATTGTTTGACTACGTTCCAGCATGTTTTAGATTTGTTCGTACACAATCCACCTGTAGGGTGGCATGCCCGACCTAACTCTAGGCTTCCCAGATGTGATCCGAGCAGGGTGGGTCGGGGGGTCGCGCTGCATCGCTCGGCGATGCGTCGAAAAAGAAACATCGGCATAAACAGAAACTGTTGGAACTCCACGCGGATTTCTTGGATCGGCGCAGAAGCCCCCTGCCTATCGCGCGGAGCACGCGACGGGCGGCGCCAGAGGCGCCGCGAGGGGGCCCAGCGCCGATCCAAGAAATTCGCGCGGAGCGTCGAACATTTATGCGTAAGCCGTATTGTGTTCCTCTGGTGTGGCTCCCGTATTGTGTTCCTCTGGTGCGGCTCGATGCGGAGCCTGATTTTCTCCACGCCGTCGGCGCTGACGCATCGCCGACGTCGCGGGTGCATCGCCGACGCATCGGTGATGCATCGGCGATGCGGCGCGATCTTCCGACCCCATTATTCGGACCCCATTTGGCGGGCCAGCGCATGGGCAAACCCAGGCATGCGGCGTCCTGATTGCGTCAATACGCGATCCAGGGATGTCCCGGCCATTTTCCCGGGACGTTTTTCCCCCCCCCCCCCCCCGAGTTGGTTTGCCGACTGTCCCGGGGGCCTGGAGAGGGCCCCCACAGGCCGAAAACGGCGAAACGGTCCAGCCCAGATTTTTGTCACGACGCGAGCATGTCTGTCAGGAGGGAAACTCACCCACACAGACACAATTACTCGTCGATTTCCAGGAAAATATGGGAAAATATGGGAAGTGGGGGGGAAGACGAAAACCCAGAAAATATAGAAGAATATGGGGCATCCTGCTATCTGTGTGTATTTATTTGTTTTTCCCAGGGCCCCTTCAGTCTGGGAGTCATAACCATGCCCAGGTTCGAGGACGAGACCCGCAGCGACGACGACGACGCCACTCCCTCCGCGGCCGGGCCGGGGAGCTCGCTCCTCGCGGGCCTCGTGGCCCAGCAGCCGCAGGAGGCCAGCGAGGACTTGCCCGTCTCGTGCACGGACCCGGCGGAGGTGTTCCGGCAGGTGAGCGGTAAGAGAAAGCTCGGGGGCGGCAAAGAGGGGGGTGATGACTAGGGGGGGGGGATATCATGGCGGGGCCGTGATATTTCCCGAGATGTCATGGCGCCTCTTCTTGTTTCATGACGTCCCTGGCCCCCCCGCTGGGCCGCGCACATGCCGCCGGTCATGATTTGCACCCCCCCTCTTAGACACCCCCCTCCTGGCCGCTCCCGACAAACGTTGTGGACGACGATCAGTAAAGAGGAAGCATGGTGCCAAACAGTCTACAGATGTCGAAATCGTGTCTTAAGCACGTTTAAGATATATTTAGAACACTTGTCAGACATTTCAAACACATTTTGAGTTCAAGGGCAGGATTGTTAGAGTGTTCATTGTCATGGTATCCACCAAGAGCACGTCAGGGGCAGCCCTTCAGATCCGACGTCTTGAAAACATTGAAACATCGCGAACAAAACACAGGTGGAGCAGACCCCGTCTTTCTGCGTCATTGTTCGAGCTGGATCGGTATGTGAGGGTCTCCGGGCCCGAATCTGAACGAAAACGCCGGGCTCGACCAGATTGAGACTCCATGATCTCAGGGGCGTTAGGGGTGGGGGGATTCGAAGTGTCGGGGTTCGAGGGTTTCGGTCGTTGCCGGGCCGCTGCAGAAAAAACACCTTTTCGCTGGGGAGGGGCTCAGCGCACCTTCCTTGTTTTACAGTTTTGTCTCAGGCCACCCTCCTCCCCGAACCCTGAACCCTAAACCCTGAACCATCCTTAGTTCAGAGGCCAGCAACATGTGTACACGTACGCGGTTGGCTTCCCCTGGAGTGCGTGTCAACGCGGACGTTCGTGCAGGCAAGATCGCGGAGGGCGTACATGTACATATGTCGTTGCTCGCCCATTAGTCTAAGGTTTTGCCTTCGGACGTCGAAAGTTTAACTTCTGAAGCCAAGGGGCCCGTTCCTGAGCTGGGGCTCCGTATGACAGCGTTGCGACCGCAGGCTCGCAGCGGCTTGCCAGTCTCGCGCTGCTCTCCCAGGGCCGAGCCTCGTCCAGAGCGTCCCGCGGTTTGCCGAGATCGTTCCAGACACGTCCGTCGGGGAGCCTCCTCCTCCTCCTCCCTCCTCCTCCTCCTCCTCCTCCTCCTCCTCCTCCTCCTCCCCCTCCTCCTCCCCCTCCTGCCCCTCCTCCTCCCCCTCCTCCTCCTCCTCCCCCTCCTCCTCCTCCTCCTCCTCTTCCGTCTCCTCCTTAGCTCCTCGGAGGAGGAGGGACGACAGGGGGGGATATGTTCGGGGGGGGGGGGATGGCGCTTTAGGTTCGAGGTTCTAGGTGACGGGAAGCGCCTTCTCTCGGGCCGGACGACAGGGGGGGATAGGGAAAGGGGGGGTACGAAATCTGCAGCATGCAGCTGGTTTCGGCCCCGCCGCCGGGCCCATTCCTCGATACATGGCCGCCTCCCGGCACCTACGTGAGCTGATTCTCAAAGCCCCCCTTTGCTATCCCCCCCTTTCGCCCGACCCGAGAGTTGTGACCCGAAAACCAGTGGATGCAGGGACGACAGGGGGGGTAGGCTCCGGGGGGGGGGGGGTCATTTTGGGTTCGAGGTTCTAGGTGACGGGAAGCGCCTTCTCGGAACGAGAAGGTGATGGGAGTTTCTGAGAGGAAGCTGAATAAGGAATGCATGCAGAACTGAGACGCGAGAGACCCCTGGCTCGCGAGGGCAACAGGTTGATCGCTTGGCGGATGACGGGAAGCGCCTTTTCGGAACGAGGAGGTGATGGGAGTTTGTTGGGTGATGCTGAATGGGTAAGAAATTAAGAACAAATTCGCGAGAGATCCTTGGCTCGCGATTGTGAAAGGCTGATCGCTCGGCGGAGGACCCCCAAAACGGCAGTTTAGCTCGAGACATCCTCGAACAACTAAGATGTCGATGGAGTTATATGCAGACTTTGTGTGTATGTGCAAAATATGGAGCTCGCTCAAGACATCCGAACCATGAGATGTTGAAATGTGTCACGAAATAGCAGGAATATTCGGAGATTGCCGTTTCGGTGAGACATCCTCCCAAACTTGAGATGTTCAAAGAGTTGTTTTAAGACGCTGTGTGTCGAGAATGAGGCTCTCGCTCGAGACAGTCTCGAAGAATAGAGATGCTGAAATCGCTTGCGAAAGCGCAACGATTTTCAAACATGAGGCTCTCGGTCGAAATATCCTTAACTCATCGATTTCGGAGGGGGCCCTGAATTAATGAAAACTTGCGTTTAACTTGAGATTCCCCTCACTGGCCGTTTCGCCGAGACATCCTTGAACAATTGAGATGTTGAGATCGTATGCTTGAGATGCCATTCGCAAGAAATGAGGGACTCGGTCGAGGTATCTTCAACAAACGATGAGGAGGAGGAGAAAGAGGATGTGGAGGAGGAGGAGGAGGAGGAGGAAGAGGAGAAGGAGGAAGAGGAGGAGGAGGAGGAAGAGGAGTTGGAGGAGGAGTTGGAGGAGGAGGAGGAGGAGGAGCACAACACGCCCCCAGCGCATGAATGCCCATATAGAGCATACACCACGTAAACAATTCACCCCTCACACTAAACACAAAGCGCACGCACACCCTGCGCCCCTCCCGCCCGCCCGCCAGGCACACACCCCACCGTACACCCCCCCCGCCCGCCCGCCAGGCACGCGCCCCGTACGCACACCCTGCACCCCCTCCCCCCGCCCCCCTGGCACAGACCCTGTACGCGCCCGCGCGCGCGCGCACACACGCTCACAGCAGCACGCACAGTCACACACACACACACACACACAACACACGAGACGCGTACACACATGCACATGCACATACGCACACAAAAGCATAATATTTGACCCAAGCAACCGCAGGCAACCACTAAACACGAGCTACCAACGGCGACCATCTGGGCATTTAGGGGAGCCCAGCGACTGCATCCAGGTGCACGCATGCGCGTTGGTTGCAAATCGATGCGCGCGTGCGCACGCAAGCTCAGAGAAGCGGCGCTTCTCGTTCTTGTCTGGAAAGGTCCCCCCCGAATTTGGCGTTTTGCTTGGGTCATCCTTGAACTAGCGAAGATGTTGAAAGATTTGTGTCAAGACGTTTTACTTGCAAAGTGATGTTCTCGCTCGAGACATCCTCCAAACAATGGGATGTTGAAATGGATTGCGAAATAGCTCGAATGTTCGGAAGTGGCCGTTTTGCTCGAGACATCTTCGAAACACAACATTTCGAAGAGCTTATGTTGAGACGCCGGCTCGAAACCAGCGATGTCGCTCGAGACATCCTTGGACAATGGAGATGGCGAGTGCGCTCTACTTGTTGCTTCGTCTTGGAACGCTCCTGGAGGGCTTCAGCCATTGCTCCAATAGCCGCCCTGGAGGACCGCAGGAACCCCCAAGCACACCCCAAGAAGCCCTTCATCGTCTTCACCATCATTACAAGCATGATCGTGATCACGAGGATGACGATGATGATGATGGTGCTGATGATGAGGCTGGTGAAGATGATGATCATGATGGTGATGATGCTGATGATGCTGATGATGATGATGATGATGTTGATTATCATCATCACCACCATCAGCATGATCATCATCATCCTCATCATCATCCTTATCAGTATCAGCATTAGCAGCATCATCGCCATCGTCACCATCATGGACATTATCAGCGTCATCGCCATCGTCATCATCATCGTCAGTGTCATTGCCATCGTCGACTGCCACACTACGCAACACACAACGCATGCAACACCCAGAACACATGACACATCCCCAGCACGCAAATGGCCATACAGAGACGTACACCACGCACAGGCAATACTCATGCCGTACATCCCCCCGCCCGTCGCCCCCAGAACACATCCCGCACGCCCACCGTACACCCCCCCGCCCGTCCCCCCCAGAGCACCCCTTGCACGCCCACCGTACACCCCCCCGCCCCTCCCCCCCAGAGCACACTCCGCACGCACGCCGTACACCCCCTCTCCCGCCCGCCCAGCACACCTTGCACACACAGCCGCACACGCAGACGGCCGCACACACAGGCACACACAGACACACAGGCACACGCACACGCGCACACACACAAACACACACACACACACACACACACACACACGTGCACAGGCCACGCGCAACATCTGACCAAAGCAAGCGCAGGCAACCACTAACAAACAGCTACACACGCCCACCGTACACCCCCCCCGCCCCGCCAGTCCCCCTCATAGCACACCCCGCACGCACGCCGTACACCCCCCGTTCCGCCCGCCCAGCACACCCTGTACACACAGCCGCGCGCGCACGCACACACAGCCGCACACGCAGGCACACACAGACACACAGGCAACCACTAAAATTATCCTGGCGATGGGCCCAACCATATGCAGTTGCGAGTACCGCAAAGCAGGTTGAGCGACTGAGAGGGAACTCCCTGAGGGGCCACGAAACGTGTGAGAGGTGTGCCGAAATGGGTGCGGTGCCGCCATGCGAACGCAACCACTGGGGCCTTCGGTGGAGCTCCTTATGGGGCCACGAAGCGTGTGAGGGGTGTGCCGAAATGGGCACGGTGCCGCCATGCGGACGCAGCCACTGGGGCCCTCGGTGGCGCTCCCTATGGGGCCACGAATCGTGCGAGGGGTGTGCCGAAATGGGCGCGGTGCCGCCATGCGAGCGCAGCCACTGGAGCCCTCGGTGGAGCTCCCGATGGGGCCACGAAACGTGTGAGGGGCGCGGTGCCGCCATGCGAACGCAGCCATTGGAGCCCTCGGCGGAGCTCCCTATGAGGCCACGAAACGTGTGAGGGGTGTCCCGAAATGGGCGCGGTGCTGCAATGCGACCGCAGCCACTGAGGCCCTCGGTGGAGCTCCCTATGGGGCCACGAGCCGGGTGAGGGGTGTGCCGAAATGGGCGCGGTGCCGCCATGCGAGCGCAGCCACGGGGGCCCTCGGTGGAGCTCCCTATGGGGCCACGAAACGTGTGAGAGGTGTGCCGAAATGGGTGCGGTGCCGCCATGCGAACGCAGCCGCTGGGGCCCTCGGTGGAGCTCCCTATGGGGCCACGACACGTGTGAGGTGTGTGCCGACATGGGTGCGGTGCCGCCATGCGAACGCAGCCACTGGGGCCCTCGGTGGAGCTCCCTATGGGGCCACGAAGCGTGTGAGGGTGTGCCGAAATGGGCGCGGTGCCGCCATGCGAACGCAGCCAGTGGGGCCCTCGGCGGAGCGCCTATGGGGCCACGAAACGTGTGAGGGGTGTGTGCCGAAATGGGCGCGGTGCCGCCATGCGAGCGCAGCCATTGGAGCCCTCGGTGGGGCTCCCCACGGGGCCACGAAGCGTGTGAGGGGTGCCGAAATGGGTGCGGTGCCGCCATGCGAACGCAGCCATTGAGGCCCTCGGTGGAGCTCCCGATGGGGCCACGAAACGTGTGAGGGGTGCCGAAATGGGCGCGGTGCCGCCATGCGAACGCAGCCACTGGGGCCTTCGGTGGAGCTCCCTCCCTATGGGGCCACGAAGCGTGTGAGGGGTGTGCCGAAATTGGTGCGGTGCCGCCATGCGAACGCAGCCGCTGGGGCCCTCGGTGGAGCTCCCTATGGGGCCACGAAACGTGTGAGGGGTGTGCCGAAATTAGCGCGGTGCCGCCATGCGAACGCAGCCACTGGGCCCTCGGTGGAGCTCCCTATGGGGCCACGAAACGTGTGAGGGGTGTGCCGAAATGGTGCGGTGCCGCCATGCGAACGCAGCCACTGGAGCCCTCGGTGGAGCTCCCTATGGGGCCACGAAACGTGTGTGCCGAAATGGGCGCGGTGCCGCCATGCGAACGCAGCCACTGGAGCCCTCGGTGGAGTCTGCCCTATGAACGAAGGTGTGAGGGGTGTGCCGAAATGGGTGCGGTGCCGCCATGCGAACGCAGCCACTGGGGCCTTCGGTGGAGCTCCCCTATGGGGCCACGAAACGTGTGAGGGGTGCCGAAATGGCGCGGTGCGCGCCATACGAACGCAGCTACTGGGGCTTTCGGTGGAGCTCCCTATGAGCCACGAAACGTGTGAGGGTGTGCCGAAATGGGTGCGGTGCCGCCATGCGAACGCAGCCTCTGGGGCCTTCGGTGGAGCTCCCTATGGGGCCACGAAGCGTGCGAGGGGTGTGCCGAAATGGGTGCGGTGCCGCCATGCGAACGCAGCCACTGGGGCCCTCGGTGGAGCTCCCTACGGGGCCACGAAACGTGTGAGGGGTGTGCCGAAATAGGCGCGGTGCCGCCATGCGAACGCAGCCAGTGGGGCCTTCGGAAGAGCTCCCTATGGGGCCACGAAGCGTGTGAGGGGTGTGCCGAAATGGGTGCGGTGCCGCCATGCGAACGCAGCCACGGGGGCCCTCGGTGGAGCTCCCTATGGGGCCACGAAACGTGTGAAGGGTGTGCCGAAATGGGTGCGGTGCCGCCATGCGAACGCAGCCACTGGGGCCCTCGGTGGAGCTCCCTACGGGGCCACGAAACGTGTGAGGGGTGTGCCGAAATGGGTGTGGCTGACGCGGAGGGGGAGGGGGGAGGAGGCGGAGGAGGAGGAAGGAAGGAGAGGAGAGGAGAGGAGAGGAGACGCGGGGCACCGTCTCTTCAAAACGAGGACCCAACACCACAGGATGGTTGGGAAATAAGCTGCCGATGTCAACTATCTGGGCATGCGGGGGGTCCCAGCGATTGCACCCCAGTCGCACACATGCGTGTTGGGTGCAACTCCATGCGCACGCAAGCTCAGAGAAGCAGCGCTTCCCGTCATTGTCCAGAAAGGTTTTCCGTCGTTTTCGTCTATCGTCGACGTTTCGCAGGTTCCAGCTCGATGTTTACCCCCCAGAGCAGGTCCCCCCTATCGTTGCCCTTCAAAACGGGGTGGACTCGAAGAAGAAACAGACGCACAAACATCACCTCGATGGTCCTCGCCGATGCAAACCAGGGGCATAGAAACTCCGAGGCCCACGCGAGTCTCTCGAATCGGCGCTGGAGAGCCCCCCTGGCGGCGCCTCCGGCGCCGCCCCTGGCTCGCGGGCCCGGCGCCGCCCCGAGAACTCAGCGCGGGCCTCCGAGAAGTCAGCTGTCGGAGGCTGCTATAGACCTCCTACCCCGACACGCCGATCCGTGACTCGGCCGTTCTCGGTTCGCGAGAGGGCGTCGCGGCCCGGCAGTTTTGCGGGTCCAGCTCCATCGGTTTCGGTCCTGGGCTTCTGTCGGGCCTGCCCCCCTACAGAGGAATTTTCGACGAAAAATAAGAAATACCCTCAAAATACACCAAAATGGTCAAAAAATATTCAACAAATCGTCCCCAGACTATTTTTTGATTATTTTTTGATTATTTTTGGGGTATTTTTTTCTATTCCCAACCATCCTGTGGTGTTGGGTCCTCGTTTTGAAGAGACAGCGCCCCGCGTCCCTCACACACTCCTCCTCCACCTCTTCCCTCCTCCCCCTCCGCGTCAGCCACACCCACTTCGGCACACACCTCACACGTTTCGTGGCCCCATAAGGAGCTCCACCGAGGGCTCCAGTGGCTGCGTTCGCATTGCGGCACCGCGCCCATTTCGGCACACCCCTCACACGTTTTTTGGCCCCATAGGGAGCTCCAACGAGGGCCCCAGTGGCTCCGTTTGCATGGCGGCACCGCACCCATTTCGGCACACCCCTCACACGCTTCGTGGCCCCATAGGGAGCTCTCCCGAAGGCCCCAGTGGCTGCGTTCGCATGGCGGCACCGCACCCATTTCGGCACACCCCTCACACGTTTCGTGGCCCCTGAGGGAGCTCCACCGAAGGCCCCAATGGCTGCGTTCGCATGGCGGCACCGCGCTCATTTCGGCACACCCCTCACACGTTCCTTGGCCCCATGGGGAGCTCCACCGAAGGCTCCAGTGGCTGCGTTCGCATGGCGGCACCGCACCCATTTCGGCACACCCCTCACACGCTTCGTGGCCCCATAGGGACATCCACCGAAGGCCCCAATGGCTGCGTTCGCATGGCGGCACCGCACCGGCACCCCTCACACGTTTCGTGGCCCCAGGGAGCTCCACCGAAGGCCCCAGTGGCTGCGTTCGCATGGCGGCACCGCACCCATTTCGGCACACCCTTCACACGTTTCGTGGCCCCATTAGGGGGCTCCACCGAAGGCCCCAGTGGCTGCGTTCGCATGGCGGCACCGCACCCATTTCGGCACACCCCTCACACGTTTCGTGGCCCCATAGGGAGCCCTACCGAAGGCCCCAGTGGCAGCGTCCGCATGGCGGCACCGCACCCATTTCGGCACACCCCTCACACGTTTCGTGGCCCCTGAGGGAGCTCCACCGCAGGCCCCGGCTGCGTTCGCATGGCGGCACCGCGCCCATTTCGGCACACCCCTCACCCGGTTCGTGGCCCCATAGGGAGCTCCACCGAGGGCCCCAGTGGCTGCGTTCGCATTGCGGCACCGCACCTATTTCGGCACACCCCTCACACGTTTCGTGGCCTCATAGGGAGCTCCACCGAGGGCTCCAATGGCTGCGTTCGCATGGCGGCACCGCGCCCATTTCGGCACACCCCTCACACTTCGTGGCCCCATAGGGAGCTCCACCGAGGGCTCCAGTGGCTGCGTTCGCATGGCGGCACCGCGCCCATTTCGGCACACCCCTCACACGTTCCTTGGCCCCATAGGGAGCTCCACCGAGGGCCCCAGTGGCTGCGTTCGCATGCCGGCACCGCACCCATTTCGGCACACCCCTCACACGTTTCGTGGCCCCATAGGGAGCTCCACCGAAGGCCCCAGTGGCTGCGTTCGCATGGCGGCACCGCGCCCATTTCGGCACACCCCTCACACGCTTCGTGGCTCCATAGGGGGCTCCACCAAGGGCCCCAGTGGCGGCGTTCACATGGCGGCACCGCACCCATTTCGGCACACCTCTCACACGTTTCGTGGCCCCTTACGGTGTTCCCTCTCATTCGTTCAACCTGCTTTGGGTCTATCGCCAGGATAATTGATTCGTCGAAAAGTCCCCTGTAGGGGGACAGGCCCGACTTAATCCTGGGCCGTTTTCATTACATGGAGGTTTACGAAAAAGGGAGGCTCGTCCACCGCCGAGCGGAGTCGATGGCGCCAGCGTTCGCGGGCCCCCAGGCACTGCCCCTCCAGCACAGGAGGGGAAAAAGAAACACGCAGACACAAGTAATCGTCGACCCCCAGGAAGATAGGGGCGAATATGGCACGTGGGGGAGGAAAGACAAAGGCCCAGAACATATGGGAAACTCATATAGGGGAATCCTGTGATTTGTGTGTGTGTGTGTGTATTTGTTTGTCTGTCCCAGGGCCCCGTCAACATTCCGACCAGACGAAAGGCGGGGATAGGGAAAGGGGGGGGGTACGAAATTTGCTGCACGTAGCTGGTTTCGCACCCACCGAGGGGCCTCTTCTTCGATACGTGGCCGGGAGGCGCCGGGAAAATCAGCTACGCGAGCTGATGCTCACCCCCCCCCCTTTGCCATCCCCCCCTTGTCGCCCGGCTCGAAACACCACTCGGCGCAGGGCCCGGCTCGCTCGGTCGCACCAGGTGAAGCAGTACGTGGGCCGCTCGGGCTTCGTGGACCTGTTCACCTCCGCGGGGGTGCCCGGAGGAGGGCGAGCGGAGCCAGCGTGGGCGTTGCGTCAGGGAGGGGTCTTAAAAATAGGGGGGTGGCGGGGGGGGTCCGAAAAGGTACTCCAGATTTCGTAATAAAGGGAGGGGGGTCTCATTTCGGGGGGGGGGGTCTCTTCCAGGCTATCTTGGAGGGCCTGGGGGGGTCTAGGAACGATGTTTTGAAGGGTTCTCCCACGAGGGGGGGGTTGAAATGGCTTGACTTGGAGGGTCCATGCCCCCTCCCTTTTATTACGAAATCTGGAGTACCCAAACGGTACCTGAACGAGCCCCCTGGGGCTCCGGAGGGGCCCGAAAGGGGCACGAAAGGGGACCGTTTCTAACCCCCCCAATTTATGACCCCCCCATCGAGCCACGCCCAACCAGCGGCAGCATGGTCTTCTGGGGGGGGGGGCCCTCGTCGCCACAGCTGGCTGCAGCTCAGACAGCGTTTGCGTTTGGACCCCGGGAGAGGCCTAGGGTTAGGTCGGGCCTGTCCCTCTACAGGAGAAAAATTCAAAAATAGTCAAAAAATAGTCGGGGAACTGTGTTTGGAGTATTTGTTTGACCATTTTATTGTATTTTTTGACAATGCTTTATTTTTCGTCGAAAATCCCCCTGTAGGGGGACACGCCCGACTTAAGCCTAGAGGCTGAAGCTGAGCTGCCGTTGCTCGGGCGGGTGGTATGATGGGGGTGGCCTGCACGGGGAGTGCAGGCACGGGCCCCGAAGGGCCGTTCAGGGTGCCTGTTCGGCCCCTGCTGGCTCCAGCAGGGCCTCTTCAGGGCCCTTTTCCTCAATCCCCCATGCCGGTCACCCCCCAAGACGGGCGGCGTTTGCGCGCCGGCCGCGCCGGCGAAGGCGTGCAAGGCTGAACTCTGCGACGCGGAAGCGCCGATGGACGGGAGCGCCATTGGGCCCGCTCGAATTCAACCTTGAACGATCGGGGCCGCCATCGATTCAAGGTTACACGATCGATGCTGTGTCAAAAACCTTTGCGCGCGCCGACGCCGCGCGAACCTGCCGTACCACCCACCCGTGCTGCCTCGCCCTGCCTTGCCGCGAGGTGCCCAAGCTGCCAGCGGAGAGCCTGCAGGTGCTGGGCAAACTCTGCACCACCACCACCATCTGTTGGACGGGGGAGCGGGGAGGATGAGGAGGTCCTCCTTCTCTTCCTCGGACGAGGAGGTCCCTCCTCCTCCTCCTCCTCCTCCTCCTCCTCCTCCTCCTCCTCCTCCTCCTCCTCCTCCTCCTCCTCGTCCTCCTCCCCTCCTCCCTCCCCCTCCTCCTCCTCCTCCTCCTCCTCCTCCTCCTCCTCCTCCTCCTCCTCCTCCTCCTCCTCTCTCCTCCTCCTCCTCCTCCTCCTCCTCCTCCCCCCCTCCTCCTCCTCCCCCCCCTCCTCCTCCTCCTCCTCCTCCCCCTCCTCCTCCTCCTCCTCCTCCTCCTCCTCCTCCTCCTCCTCCTCCTCCTCCTCCTCCCCCTCCTCCTCCTCCTCCCTCCTCCTCCTCCCCCCCCCTCCTCCCTGTGGCCGCGGTGGTGGCCCAGGGAGCCCCGCCGCAGGTGCTCGCCCAGGCCCTGGTGAGCCTCGCCCGCCCCGCCGCGTGGCCCGCGGCGGGCGGCGGCGCGAGCCCCGCCGCCGGCGCGGGCGGCGAGGCCCCCGCCGGCGGCTCGCCCAGCGCCGACGGCGGCGCGGCGCCGCTGGGCGCCCACCCGGGCCCCGCCGCCCGGTGGCACGAGGTGCCCCTCCCCCTCTCCCCGACCCCCTCGAGTAATGAAAAAGTCATGACGGGAGGTTTTCCTTCCTTTCCGGCCTCCAGGGGCCCTCGCCGGGCCTCGGGGGCGTCAACAAAAACAAGTCAGCAGGGGAAAGGTTCGGGACCTCTGGGGGTCGACGCAATGAAAAAACTATCCCAGCAAAGCAACCTAACAGCGATGTGTATAAGCATATCTGGAAGCATTCCCCTTAAGATTCAGATGAGAATCCAGTTGCAGAATTCTGCTGTTCTCGCATTCGCAGTCGCATTCGCCGGTGGCACGAGGTGCCCATCCTCAAGCAGTGGCGAGGCGTCCTGGCTCGCCTATAGCCCTACCAAGCAATGTTCTAAGAACCTTTTGTGGTTTCCACGAAATGCTCTTAGAACATTTCTGGTTGATATTGTTTTGTTTCAACACATCGGGCTCATGTTCTAAGAACAGTGTTTTTGTTCTTAGAGCATTTTTGGGTTCTAAGAACATTTCGTGGTAGGACTATAGGAATGCCTAGACGGTCGGTCCCTGCTCAACATCCCCCTCTCCCCAGAGAGCCAACGCAGTGACAAAAATCAGGACGTTTTTTTATGAAATTTCGGCCCCCTAGGGGCCCTCGCCGGGCCTCGGGACCGTCGAAAAACGACTCGGGAGGAAAAACCGGTCCTGAGACTTCCGGGGACCGCGCATTGAAAAAAATACGACATCGGATCTCTGGGTCTCCCCTCGGGTTGTGAAAACATCACGACGGAAGGTTTTTGGCTCTTGTTGGCCTCCGGGGGCCCTCACTGGGCCTCGGGGCTGTGAAAAAACACGCCTCAGGGTCAGAAGCCGGCCCCGGGGAAGTAGTCCAGAACTCTGGGGGGTCGAAGGTGTGACAAAAATCGCGACGTCGGGGGGCCAGGCCATCAGCATCGTTTCACCGATCCCCATCCCCACCCCCATCCAGAGCCCCACCGTCTCATCACCCCGGTTGGGGGAGATCGAGATCTGGCAGGAAGTGCCTACATCCCCATCTATAGGCGGGTAAACCGGCCAGTGGAGCCTAGGCCACGCGAGTGGGGATAGGGATCGGTTAGTTAAACGATGTTCATATTGTTAAGTCGGGCACGTCCTTCTACAGGAGGAAGATTCACTATTTGTTGTTTGATTTTGTCTGGCTGTCTTTGGGCATTTCTTAAACATGATGTTCTATTCATTTCTCGTCTCTAGTCCGCCTGTAGGGTTATGATGTTCCAGCGTACTTTAGCTTTGATTGCCAGAAAACAATTTCGAGCATCAAGAAATGTACCGACACTTGAGGATTGTCACGCGTCGAGCCCTGCGAGGCGATACTCATTCGACACCGTTTCGAGACTTTCCTGGGTGCTCGAATTTATTTCTGGGATGTGGTCCTCAAGTACAATAGGAGCGACATAGAAGTCGGGCACGTCACTCTTCAGGCGGAATATTGAAGAATGGTATGAGCAAAATAGTCTGGAGACGAAGTGGTTTGACTATGTTTGGCTAATTTTGCAATTGTTCTGCCAATTTTGCAATTTGTCATCCGAAATCCGCCTTCAGGGGGGACGTGCCCGACCTAAGCCTATCGGCCACGCGCGCCGTGGGGGAGGGTATGGCCCAGACCCCTCCAGGGGCCCTCGGGGGGCCGTCGGCGAACGATTCAGGAGGATCGAAGGGGAGAAAAAACGCCTCAAACAAATGTTTGGATGTTCGATTTAGATGGTCGAAGCCGACGGAAACACTTTTGGCGCTCAGCGCGGATTTCTTGGATCCGCGCTGGGCCCCCCGACGGCGCCTCCAGCGCCGCCCCTGGCGCGCTCCGCGCGCCAGGGAGGGCGGTCCAGCGCAGATCCAAGAAATCCGCGCGGATCGCCGAAAGTTTGTGTTTCTGGCGCTTTTTGTTCTTCTATATGAGAGCCCGGTCCCGGGGAAGGGGTCCAGGCCTCTGGGGTCCAGATTTAAGTACAGGAGGAATGTTCAAGAATACTAAAAATAGTCTGGGGACTATTATTTTTAGTATTTGTTTGACACTATTGGAGTATCTTTTGATCATGTTTTATTTTTCGGTGAAAATCAGTAGGGGGACACGCCCGACTTAAGTCCAGGTTGCGAAGAAAACACGACGTCGTGGGTCTGGGCGGGAGGGGGGAAGGCTTCTGCCAAACGGGGCCAGGACGAGGCTGACTCCATTCCAGAGCGTTCCGGGACGCTCCCACCGGAACGCTCCGAGAAGGCGGCGGCGCCGGGGGCATCGTTCAGAGTTGTCGGACGTCAGAGATGTCCGATTTGCCCTCGCACGATTGTGTCTTCATCTTGGCGTCGTCTTCTTTTTGGAAGCACCCCTGCTTCTCAGGAGGCGTGGGCCTCGTCTCTAGATGTTATTCAGGCCGGCGCCTTCCAAGAAGCAGCCTCCTTCGAAGAAGCCTTCCCCCCTCCTCCCTGCCCCCCGCGTGCGCGCCGCCAAGTCTCTAGACCTCCCAGATGGGGTCCGAGCACACGGGCTTGGAGGATCGCGCCGCGTCGCCGAAGCATCGGCAGGCCAGCAATACATGGGGGAGCTGTGGTCCTTACCCCCCTGGGGGATCCATCGATTTCGACACCCCTCTCGAGAGATCGTCGAGGCGATGGGTTCCCCCAGGGGGGTAAGGACCACAGCTCCCCCAGTTGGCTGGTCGGATCGGGGATGCACTTCGATGCGGAGCCCGACTTTCTCCACGTCGGCGTCGACGATGCGGCGCCGACGTCGCCGATGCATCAGCGGCGTGCAGCGGCAATGCTGCGCGATCCTCCGACCCCACCCCACTCGGACCCAGCTGGGAGGCCCCTAAGGTTGCAGACCCCGTCGTCTGCCTGGAGCTCCTCACGAACATGACGTGCATGCCGCTGGGGCCCGGGCAGAACGTGTCGCAGATCTGGCCGCTGGTGAGCACGCACTTCGAGCGGCTGCTCCAGCACGTGATTGCTGGAGAGGGCAGCTCCGAGCGCCAGTTCATCGAGCGGCTCATCGTGAACACGCTGCGGCTGTGTATACGCCTGATCGGCAACGCCGACCTGGTGCCCACGCTGCTGACCCTGGTCCAGCACCTGTCCAGGCTGCCGCCCAGGATCTTCGCGACCTACTCTGAGCGGATCGCGTGCGGGCTGGTGGTTTCGGATGCAACTCCTGGGAGGTCAAGTTCTGATGTTGCCCTGGTCCGGAATCTTGCTTAATCCGGCCTAATCCCGCTGAATCGGGCTCAATCCCGCTTTATACAGGTTAATCCCGCTTAATCCGAGGCCCACTCCGGCGTAATAGCCCCCCAATGGGGCTTAATCCTCAATCCTTCCGACGAAGACCTCCCAGTAGTTGCCTCCTAAGGTGGTCCTGGTGAGAGACACGCAGCTGCCACACACGGGCCTCTCGGTTATCTTCGCGCTGCTGAAGCGGATATCGGACAGTCCGGGCGGCGTGGGTGCCTGCAGCGCAGGCATGGAGTGCTTGAACTATCCGGCTGCCTGCGGCAGGCCCCGCCATCGTGCCAGCGCAGCAGGAAGGAGGATGAGTTTGAGACCCGCTGCAGTTCAGCGTTTTTTTTTTTTTTCTAAATCGCGCGGGTCTCGAGCTCCCCTCGGTCTACACCCTGGTGGTTTTCTTCTTCCTTCTTCCTCTTCCCTTCTCCTTCCTCCCGCATCCTCCTCGAAGGCATCTGGAGTCTCCTTGCGGGACACTTTGGGGCATGTGGGGTGCCCCTCTGGAGTCTCTCGGGAGCCTGCTGGGGGCCCTCTGGGGGCCCGTCGGAGATCTCTGGGTCCGTCTTGGGCGCGATGGCTCCGGCACTTTTGTGAGCAGTTTTGGAGGGACCTGGGGCAGTCTTGAGGCCGTCTGGGAGCTCAGGGCTGGACCGAAACGCTGTTTTGGTGATTTCGTGGGCCGCTTTCGGTTCGACTTCGTTTTGCAGTAAAGGCGCATTCGAGACAAAAACGAAGGAAAACGAAAGCAAAACGAAAAAAGTAAAAACACCGTTCAGGTTCAGCCCTGCGGGAGCTCTCTGGGGCCAGACGAAAGGGGGGAGAGGGAAAGGGGGGGGGCTACGGAATCTGCGGCATGCAGCTGGTTTTAGCCCAACCGAGGGGCCCATTCATTCCTCGATGCATGGCAACCTCTGGCGGTGGGAGGCGACGGGAAAACCAGCTGCGTGAGCTGAGAATCCCCCCTTCGCTATCCCCCCTTTCGCCCGGCCCGACTCTCTCGGGGCAGTGTGCAGGAGGGGAAAAAACACACACACAGACGCAATGAACCGTCGATCCCAAGGAGAATATGGGAAGATATGGGAAGTGGGGGGGGGACAAAAACACAGAAAATACAGGAAAACATGGGGAATCCTATGATTTGTTTGTGTGCGTGTGTGTGTGTGTGTGTGTGTGTGTGTGTGGGTGTGCGTGTGCGTGTGCGTGTGCGTGTGCGTGTGCGTGTGCGTGCGTGCGCGTGCGTGTGCGTGTGCGTGTGCGTGTGCGTGTGCGTGCGTGTGTGTGTGTGTGTGTGTGTGTGTGAGTGTGTGTGTATGTGTGCGTGTGCGTGTGCGTGTGCGTGTGCGTCGCGTGTGTGTGCGTGTGCGTGTGCGCCTGCGCCTGCGCCTGCGCCTGCGCCTGCGCCTGCGCCTGCGCCTGCGCCTGCGCCTGCGCGTGCGCGTGCGCGTGCGCGTGCGCGCGCGCGTGCGCGTGCGCGTGCGCGTGCGCGCGCGCGCGTGAATGTGTGTGTGTGTGTGCGTGTGTTGTCGTGTGGTGTGTGTGTGTGTGTGTGTGTGTGTGTGCGTGCGTGCGTGCGGTGCGTGCGTACGTTTGTTTGTGTGCGTG